GTGTTGGAATGCTTAACAACTTCCAGATGATTCTACTGGGTAGCCATACTTAGAGAGGTGCCACCTGGTTTAGAAGAAATAATCTTAAAACTTAAGCAGAGTGAATTTTTAATAAATATCAAAGTAACTCTTTAGTCAAAAAGTGGAAATATATGCTCAATATGAAACTAAGACTCTCATTAGCAAAACCCAAGTACTATGTTTCTTCTAGGGAGTAGTGTGCCAATAAGTGTTTAAAGCCATATCCTCAAGAAACAAAGCCTTAACCAGTTGTATTTTGCCTATTTCCCTGGTATAAATTCTCCCAGCATGGCTGATTTCATGCTACCACCCAATATGCCAAATTCTTGAAAACCTAACAATCAGCTCTTGTGGGACAATTTTAGCCAGCTCTGCTTCTAGGAGAACTACATCTGGTTTGCCAATCTCTATCTGATGACAGCAGTAAATTACTTATCCTTTGGGGATGAGATGTACTTATTTAGGTTGCAATAGATACTCATCAATTGCCATTTTAAAAGCTGTGTACATTAGCAGAGTTATTTAGCAATGTTTGCAAGCTTTCTATGGATCCATCTTAATAGGTTTCATGATTGTTTTTACTTTATGTAAATAATATTCTTAATAAATGTGGTCATTTGGTGTGCAAATAAACAGCTCTGAGATCTTGTACAATCTCTGCATTTTGAGATTGATTAAAATGATCTATTTGAACATCATGCACATCCTATATAATAAAAGGATAATATGCAAATCAACCGAACAGTGGAACAACCAGTCGCTATGACATGCACTGACCACCAGGGGGCAGATACTCGACACAGGAGCTGCCACCTGGTGGTCAGTGTGCTCCCACAGGGGGAGCGCCGCTCAGCCAGAAGCTGGGCTCATGGCTGGCAAGTGCAGCGGTGGTGGCGGGAGCCTCTCCTGTCTCCCCGGCAGCACTAAGGACCCCTTGGGGGTCCTGGATTGCAAGAGGGTACAGGCTGGGCTGAGGGACACCCCTCTTCAGTGCACGAATGTCATGCACCAGGCCACTAGTTACTGAATAAATGATAATAACACAAGATAATCTATCATGCTTCTTCTAGGCCAAGCACTGTTCTAAACTCTTTCCATATATCAACTTACTTATTACTCACAACTCTGAGGTGTGTCCTATTATTATCTCCATCTTGACAGATGAAGGAACTCAGAGTCAGAGAGGTTAATTAACTTATCCAATGACACACAGCTAGTCAGTAGCAAACTGGAATTTGAACTGGGCAGTCAGGCTGCTCTTAACTGACATATTTATCAAAAAGACCTAGAGAGCCCTGGCTGGTGTGGCTCAAAGTGTTGGGTGTCATCTCAAGCACCAAAAAGGTTGCTGGTTAGATCTCAGCCAAGGCACATGCCCGGGTTGCAGGCTTGATCCCCAGTAGGGGGCGTGTAGGAGGCAGTCAATCACATGGATGTTTCTCTCTCCCTCTCCCTTCCTCTCTCACTAAAATCAATTTTGAAAATCTTTTAAAGAAAGACCTAGAGAATCAAAATTATTCTCTGAGATTATTTTTGAATACTGCAGAAGTCTAGTCACCGCCCACCCCCACCTTTCCGGTTATTTGAAAATCTTTTTCAAATCCAACAACATTTGTTCACCTGCTAAAATAATTATTTTATCTTTCTCATTATCAGTGTAGTGCCATGTTTCCTGTTTGGAAAGCAGAAAGTACCCTTGACTTTTGTATAAAAGTGCAATTGTATTTACTGAGGAATACATTTTATAGCAAGTCATATTACCAAAAACACCAGAAATAGCACTGGTTTTGAAACGCTCCTTTTTATGGGTTTACTTGGCTGGAGACAAAAAATTTAAAAAAATAAAGCACACCTCGGTTATGACGCTTCCAGAGGCAGAGAAGGTCTTTTATTTTATTTTTAAGTTTGCTTGGAAATCATTTTAAACTTGCAGAAGTTTCAAGAATCAGACTGAGGCAAAGAAAACATCGCTTGTGCTTAGATCCATGTATTGTTAGATTTTAGCCCATTTGCTCTATCAATTGCTCTCTTTCTGGAGGTGTGTGTGTAATGGATATACATGCACACAATGTTTTTTATGAAATTTTTTAGTAAATTGCATACATTATGGACCATGACCCCAACCTACTTCAATGTATATTTCCCAAGAATAGGGATGTTGTCTTATGTAGTCACAGTAAACTTCTAGTCGAAGTTGCCATCTTTATTCCAGCTTGCCAGTTCCTCTAATATTGTCCCTTGGAGTATTATTTATCTGCACAGGTGCAGCACGAGGCACTGAGTGCATGGAGCTGCCAGGTATGTTTAGTTCACATTCAGTGGGACATTTCCCCAGAGCCTCTCTTTGTCTTCTGTGATTTTTAAAGAATTCAACCAACACCCCTTCCCCCCTTTTTAACAGAACATTCCTCATTTGGAGTTTGTCTGCTGTTTCTTCAGATTAGGCCCAGACATGGGTTGCAGGCCAGAATACTACACAAGTGATGTCACTTCCTTCTCAAGGTGTCACATGGAAGCCACGTGTTTTGCACCCGCCCTTCGTTGGCAAGGTTCATGTGAGCTACCCGGTCAGGAGGTCACCCAGTTTTCCCACTGCACAGCTGCTATTCTTTCCCGTGTAACTAATGAGCAATCCGTGTGGAGATACCTTAGGAGCAAACCAATATCCTGCTCCTAACCAGAATTTCCCTCTGGCCTCAACATCATTGATCATTCTTACTGAGCCATTATTTACTGTGGTGGTTGAAAAATGATGATTTTCCAATTCCCACACTTCTTCCACATTTACCAGTGAGCCCATGGCACTCTATGGTAAGGAAGACAATTCCTTCTCCTTTCTCTCTTTCTCTCCCTCCCTCCAGTGTTACTCACAGATTCTTATTTTTCCCCAATGGTTTGTAATTTGTGATTTTTCTTTATTATTTTACTTCTCAAATTATCCCAGTTTGGGCCAATCAGTGGGAGTGCCTTCAAGCTGATTGGCATATTTGGGTGACATACCTCGTTATTTATTTGAACATGTCCTTACTTTCTGGCATAAGATATTTTAGACTCAGGTGGTTCCTACTGCTCTCCCATTGGGATTGGCCATTTTTCCAAAGCCTCCTTCGTTTTAGTGGGGCATGAGGTGTAGACACCAAGGTGTGGGTGCTGGGTGTACTCATTCCTATGGAGGTGTCTTTGCTTCTAAGCTCTTTGGCAGATATACTAGTAGTTGGGAAACACATGCATGTGTGTACATGTCCAATAAGTCCCTCCTCATTCTCGGCTTTGCTTTCTGTGGTTTCAGCTAGTTACCTGCAGTAAATCAAGTCCAAAAGTATTAAATGAAAAATTTCAGAAATAAACAAGTCATAACTTTTAAGTTCCGCGCAGTGCTGAGTAGCATGATGCAATCTCACGCCATTCTGCCCGCCCAGCCTGGGAGGTGACTCCCCTGTCGGTGTCTCCACGCTGTAGAGGCTCCGTGCCCGGTGGTCACTGAGCTGCCGTCTGGGTTATCAGATCACAGGGCTTGTGCTCAAATAACCTTTGTTTTACTGCATATTGGCCCCAAAACGCAAGAGTAGTGCTGCTGGCAATTCGGATATGCCTTAAAGTGCTTTCTTTAAGTGAAAAGGTGAAGACAATACAAGATATCTAAGAGAGACCACACTCACATAACTTTTATTAGAGTATATTGTCATAATTGTTCTATTTTCTTGTTAGCTCTTGGTGTTAATATCTTACTGTGCCTAACTTATAAATTAAACTTTATCATAGGTCTGTATGTATAGGGAAACAACATAGTATGTATAGGGTTTGGTACTATCTGTGGCTTCAGACATCCACTGGGGGTCTGGGAGCTAAGGGGGAACTACTGTATACATACACATTAGTGCATATGCACATCAAGACATGCAGATATGCATGTCAAATTGTACACACACACATACAAATACATGCCTTAGAAACCGTGAATTTCCATCTATCCCAGTGCATTTTCACATTGTTTGTTTCCCCCTCATTCCATAGCAGCATGTTCCTTCTTCCAGAGGGAAAATTCTGTCTCCTAACATTAATACATCTTCTCATTTGCTCAATCATGTAAGACATCGGAAATAGTTTCATTATTATTGGAACACAGAGTTCCCTCATTCCTGCCTGTCAAAACCAACTGGACCCAGGAATTTCATGCCTAGTAATTCATCCAAAAGAGAGGAACTCGTGTGTCTACAAACAGCCTTGTATGAGAATGTTTGTAGGAGCTTTGCTCATCATAGACCCAAATTGGAAATAGCCCAACTGTTTTAAGAGAAGAAGAGATAAAGAATCTGTGATACATTCACGCAATGAGATACTACTCAGCAATAAAAAGAAACCCATTACTGCTGCAGGAACAATATGGAAGAATTTCAAAAACATGCTGAGTTTTAAAAGTCAAACAAAAGAACACATAATATATGAATCCATTTACATGAAGTTTGAGAACAGGCAAAACGAATCTCTGGTGATAGAAACTAAGCCACTGTTTGCTTTTGTTGGAGGTGGGACAGGGCAGGACATGACCTGGGAAGGGGCATGGGAAAGCATTCTGGGGTTAAGGAAATGTACTGTGTCTTGAACAGGATGTGAGTGACATGGGTGCGTGCAATGGGTTAAACTTTACCTTGAAGACATGTGCATTTCGCTGTCTATAAGTTAACCTCAATTTGAAAAAATTGGCTGGAGTCGAGTAGAGACGGCTTGTCTTGGCTGGAGCTGCTCCTCTGGGTTGCCTGACTTCTGCTCCTCCCCCTCGGCACTCCCGCCTGGCAGGCATCTGTGTGAGCTACCCCTGACCAGTATGTTTGCTTCCTTTTATTATCATTGCAGGTATGCAAAATGCAAGTTAGAATTTTAAAATTAATTACATGACATTATCAACTATTTAGGTCAGGGCAATCTAGACACTTTAAGACAGCAAAGATATGCAAGCAATTCAAATATTGCTGGATTGTAAATTAATCCTGTCTGATCTATTAAGATAAAAGCAAGAACAAGCAAACTGCAGTGTAGTCAGACTCTGCCATGGAAACAGCTGAGCAAATATCAGGTCAACGAGGCATCGATTTTCTCAGACCTTCTCATAGATTCTGGTGCAGACCACGCCTTTCATCTTACATTCCTTTAAAAAAGAGAGAGATGAACTGGGTACCTAAAGCCCAAACGAGGGGACAACAAATTTGTAGTGATAACAGAAATTAAAAACCATCCCATGAGATTAAACTCAGAAAAGTTTAAAATATCAGCATGCCAGTCTCCAGTAATTTAAAATCATGGCCACTAAAGCAGGAGAAATAGTTTTAAAGTTGATCTATGCTACAGCAGAAGAATTCTTTTAAAATGGCAACTTCCTCTATGCTGAACACCTGAAAGTAATATAAAATAGTATTGAATGGAAAAATAAATAGATAAATAAAATTATATGCACGCTTTTAAGTCTACTAAAACAGTGGTTTTCAAAATTACCTGCACATTTGCCTTGTCTGAGGAACACTTAAAAATACGGATGGCTCCTCCTCCCCAAGTGGTGTGATCTGTGATGGGCCCCATATTGGTACTTACTCCCCATGTAAGTCTATTGTGCAGTCAGGGATCAAAAAACCTCTGTTCTAAAGGAAGAGACATTCAAAACAGCATGTGAATCTATTTACAATTAATGTATGTGCTAATTAGTGAGCACAGAACCCAAAACTTCAAAAAATCATCAGAGGTCACCTCATGTAACCTTTGTCACCCTTCTCATCTGCCGACTAACGAGGTCTGCCGAGAGCTCAGCTTCAATTATTGACGTGGTTTAGGCCAAGTTACTATGGATTCTTGAAAACACTTAGATATCTACAAATATTCACTGATTGAGCCTTTGGGTTTGTTTTGCTTGTAGAACTTAGACTTGCTTTTCTCTTTGTAAGTCCCAACTAGTGAGATTCATCCAGACCCTCTTTAACTTTACTATCATTTTTATGTGTTGTTATATCTAAAGTAACAAGTAGGCTTTCTTAGTTCTAAATTCTCAAGCCTTAAACTGGAACTCTTGATAGTTTAAGCATCACCCAAACACTAATTCTGCCTCACTCTCAGCCATGCTTAGCCATTGGGGTTCTAAAGAAAAAAAGAATATTTTTGAAAATATTATAACCAATTTCTTTATTTCAATGGCATCATTTCTGTATTTAGAAGTAAAGACACTCTTACCACTACCATTTTCCCATCCACCAGCTTTCTCTTTATTGTGGTCTCTTTGCCATCCCATTTCTGCACTTGATTCAATGAGCCTCTGACCAAGGTTACGACGCTCTGCAAAGACAAGTTCACATAATTGGTTGATTAAAGAAGCATTAGTAAGCACATTCATTTCCAACAGAAGGAAGTAGTCTACCCTTTCAACACTAGCGGACTTATCCTCTCTCAAGCTGGAGACTTTGAAGAGAAACATTGAAGCTTACCTTTGTTTTCCGGTTGTCAGCTGTGGTTTCTTCAAATTCCTGGCCAAGCTTGAAAGAGATCTCTGTATTTTTAAAGGTGCTTTCAGTCCTTATGGTTATAGTATCCCCTTTCTTACTGATGATCACTTTGGGTTTGGCCAAATTTCCCAGTTTTCTGGTGGCTAACCCCACACCTGAAAAGCAAGGTAGAATTAGAATAATGCTGACCCAGAGAGAGCACCTAGAGAGTCTGTGGGGCCCACATTCTGGGCTCAGGTGGAAAGACGGCAAGTAGTGACAACCATAATTAAGAGCCTCCTCCCATGTTTCATCTCCTAATGGAAATGCATGTCATGGACTTGGATATTTTGGGTTTTGTTACAAAGGTGACGTCTGCAAATTTGAAAGGTAAAAGTGTTCAGCCCAGAGTCATCCAACTGCACCTCCATTGAAAATCACTCCCACCTCCACCCGCACCTCCATTGGACATCACCCACTGTAGTTTTGTCTGGACCAGTACAGACACTTTAGCTTGCACACAGATTGTAGAGGTTTTTTTAAATGATGCTATGACAGATGCACACTGTCCCATGACTTTTCTCCCTCAGTAACATACTATGGATATAGAAAAGAGTTCCCCCACATCCTTGATTGAATTTCATTTCTGAAATTTTGTTGTGGCCCCTAAATCTAGTGGGTAGAAGAAACAATCCATTTCCCTTCAAGACCTACCTGTACCATTCCAAATGATCATTAGTAAATAAAATCATTAATTTTTTCTGCATTTGAAAAACAAAACAAAATTAGACTCAAGTATTATTATTAGTATTCAAGATTATACAAATACATGGAAAAGGGAAATGTCAAATGAGAGTAATATATTAAAATATATAAAGGGAAAACTAGTATATGTATATATATACTAGAGGCCCAGTGCACGGTGCGGGGGGGCGGGGGCGTGGCCTCAGCCCAGCCTGCACCCTCTCCAATCTGGGACCCCTTGGGGGATGTCTGACTGCCAGCAGTCGGACAGCCCTCTCACAATCTGGGACCACTGGCTCCTAACTGCTCACCTGCCTGCCTGCCTGATTGCCCCTAACTGCCCTCCCTGCTGGCCTGGTCACCCCTAACTGCCTCCCCCACTGGCCTGGTTGCCTCTTAATGCCCCCCTGCTGGCCTGGTTGCCCCCAACTACTCCCCCGCCAGCCTGGTCGCCCCTCACTGCCTCCCTCTGTCAGCCTGATCACCCCTCACTGCCACCCCCTGCCGGCCTGGTCACCCCCAACTGGCCCCCTGCCAGCCTGGTCGCCCCACGCAGCCTGCTGTTCAGTTGTTTGGTCACCCCTCACTGCCCCCCCCCCCTGCCAGCCTGGTCGCCTCATGCAGCCTGCTGCTCAGTCGTTTGGTTGGCCCTCACTAACCCTCCACCAGCCTGGTTGCCCCACGCAGCCTGCTGCTCAGTCATTTGGTCGGTCCTCACTAACCCCCTGCCGGCCTGGTCGCCCCACGCAGCCTGTTTGGTTGTCCATTCAGTTGTTTCAGTTGTGACGGTCGCTTATGCTTAGATAGATAGATAGATAGATAGATAGATAGATAGATAGATATAGTGTCCCTCAAAAATGTATACACACTTTAAATATTTATAAAGGCAGTGTTTATTAAAATACATTTCATTTTCAAAATTGAGCTATCAGCTGTTACAGTGTATATACATTTTTGGGGGGACCTTCTTGTATTATTTATTAAAATTATTGTATTATTTATTTGTACTACACTGTAAACCTACTTTTGCCAATCCCTGTGTCCACCTAATAAGAAGTGACGAGTTAGACCTAATAAAGAATGGTGAACTGTACTCTTTTTTCTAATCCTGATTAATCTTATATTATCTTATATGCTTTAGAGCAATGTTTTTCTAGCTAAATTTCTGCAGGAAAGCCTGAGGATCTACATTCTAAAAGTGGAAAATGACAGAATCAGGAGTCCTTCATTGAGACTTGCTCATATTTTGCTTCTTCCTCAGCTGTAAAGTGAAGTCCATGCATCTAACTAATCTGACTGTATGGATTGATCCCCATAAGGTCTCATAGTTTTCTAGGCAACATGACAGGATTTGGCTCATTTTATCTATAAAGAACCTTTCTCATTAGCTTTCTGAACAAGTAAATAAAGCCACAGACATTTTGGCAAGCAGGGCAACCTGGTCCTTGGCATCACTGTCTATTGGATTGATACAGCTCTGAAAGTGTCCCAAGACTCTGCCCATCGATTGGGCTCATATCTGTGGAACAGTCTCTAGAAATAGTGTCAAATAAAGTTGATGTAACTAATGACTGGGTTTTCCACCTCCATCCACTGCTCCAACTCCAGGAAAGTCTAATGTTAGTGTAATTGAGTTTGAATTCACTGCCACAACCCAATTCTTTTTATCTCAGTAACTTCCCTAGACTATAAACATCCTGGTTTAATGCATCTTCTTTTTACAAACTCTCTATCTACATGATTATGTAATAATGGACAACTAGAGCAGTGATGGCGAACCTATGACACGCATGTCAGAGGTGACACGCGTGTCAGAGGTGACACACGAACTCATTTTTTTGGTTGATTTTTCTTTGTTAAATGGCATTTAAATATATAAAATAAATATCAAAAATATAAGTCTTCGTTTTACAATGGTTGCAAATATCAAAAAATTTCTATATGTGACACGGCACCAGAGTTAAGTTAGGGTTTTTCAAAATGCTGACATGCTGAGCTCAAAAGGTTCGCCATCACTGACCTAGAGGTAGAGAGAGAAAGCTTATAGTTTAGCTAAACATCAACATTTTAACTTCAGTACCTTCAGCTCCTTGTATTATGAGCACTTTAGCTGTTACAAAGCCAGCATTCAGGAAAGCCAAGGAATGGGTTGACTAAACGTCAAAGACTTTTTCCTGTGGTCCTGAACCCAAAGCCCTATTGATATGAAACTGCCTTTGGAAATTGTGGGAGTTTCATGCATCTAAGCAGCTCTCATGTAAGTTAAAATCTATTAAAATTGCCACAAAGGAAATGCAAACAAATTATCTGACACAAGAGAGGATCAAGCCTAGCAGAGGATTGCACTTCAGCCTGTGCAAACTTCCTCAGCCTCCTGGAAAAGGAGGCAGAAGGCCACAGTCACACAGCTTTCTCCAAAAGAGCCTTCCTTACCCAGCGCTCTCATGTAGTCATCGAAATGCTCGCTGGAGACCAGCTTCCAGGTGCCCACAAAGCTGCTGCTCATTGTGCTGGAGGAGAGGGCAGCCCAGTTCCCGGGGAGATTCAGGGGACTCCAGTGAGAGGCTGGAGCCTCCGAAGATGCTTTTCAAAGACGTCCATAGCACGTGACGCCCACAGAGACCCAATGGGGAAAGGCGGAGTCAGGCCCAGGCAATGAATGGCTCATAAATCATCCATTAGGACAAAAGAAAACTCCACATAATGTTTCCTTTCATTTCCAAACATTTTTATAAAGATCAACGAGAGTACTATTTGAACTTTCAAAAAATTTTTTGGTTGATCTTACATTTTTAAGAAGTGCTTAGGTCCTTAATACTTTGGAAAAGACTCCATGAATTGAGTCCTATACCGAACTAAATGATCTGAGCATGAATGAATGAAGGCGTGTGTGTGTGTGTGTGTGTGTGTGTGTGTGTGTGTGTGTGTTCAGGCATCTTGGTCACTCTCTATCCTGAGTCTGCACAATTAAGAATTCTTATTGAAAGAGAAGACTGAGGGAGAAATGTCCCTGAGGACTGTGATGACCGCCTCCACTATGCTGTGGGAGAGAAAAGCCAGAAGCAGAGTGAGGACGTGGTCATAGGTGAGGGAGGTTCGGCATAGCTCACATACTCAGGGGGGCAGAGTAGGCGGCAAACACAGCCAGTGTGTTAGAGCAGGGACAGAGCCTGGATTCACGGGGGACAAGAATAGGGCCACCACAAGCTCCTTGGCTCCAGCGAAGATCGTCATCTAAGAAAAACCTTGAGTCTTAATTAGGCAGGCTCTTAGTTAATAAAGAAACTTTGAGTTTAAGTCTTTAAAATAAATCCACAGTTAAATAAAGAGAACGGGTTTTCTATAAGAGGAACCCTAATATATACATCTTCAACAATTCCAGGAGCAAAGTACTGGTATTTCAACCATTTTTTCCAAAGAGCAAAGCAGAAGTCATGGCAGGTAGGTAACTTGTTCCCAACACGTGACAAAGGAGAGGCAGGACTTGAACTGGGCGTTGCTCCCTGGTGCCTGGACTCCAGACCAATATTTTGCACAGAGGCCCTGGCTGACAGCAAGCCATCCTGACATCACCAGGACTAGACAGGGACACTCATTCTCAAGTCAAGAGAAGTGAAGGTCATGAGCTGAAGTCCCCAGGCTCCCATGGTCATCAGAGCCCCCGTCTTTGATCAGGGGGTGCAAATGTCAAACCACCTCGAATAGGAGTGTTGCTCTTGGGAATAATGCCCAGTTGCTGCCATGCCTTTTCCCAGCAGCTTTTCACACTGGCTTTCATCCTGGCTGTGAGGCAGCTGATACTGTATATGTAGATCAGGTTGGCACTCGTCACAGCCATGAAGCATCCTGTGGTCCACTTGCTAATGACAGTAGAATTGCTGGCCTCCAGGGCTCAGGTCTCCAGTGCCACAGCTGTGCCCTAACCATTGCAATTAGGTGGCTCGTATAACCTAGGTTGCAGGTTTGATCTGTGGTTAGGGCACGTGTGGGAAGCAACTGGCTGATATTTCTCTGGTACATCAATGTTTCTCTTCCTCTCTCAAAAAATAATCAATAATCAATAAAAAAAAAACATATCCTCTGGTGAGGATTTCAAAAAGAAGAAAAACATGAAGGCTTTCCTGTGCTGGTCCATTGCACGTGGTCCTTAACCCTCCCCACAGCCCTCTGATGATCTCTCCATTTTGCAAAGGAGAAAAGTTCGGTGGTTAAGCAACTCATTTCGTGCTCACACAGCTGTCGGTGGCAGGAGGACTCACGTCCATTCCCCCACTTCACCTGGTGGGTCTCTGGGTGACAATGGACTCTGTGTGTCTCGGGCTGCTGGGTAGGTGGTCCCGCCCCTCCTCGTCCCTCCCAAATCACACAGCATCTAGATACCAAACGTCAAAGTGGACAGACGATACTTCCCCCTAAATGTTCAAAAAGAAACCTTTAGAACCTATAATTTGGGGATTAGGTTATTCCCTAACACTTTATCCTAATTTTCCATCAATTTTTGGTTATTAATTTTGGAATAGTCAGTCAGCTGTCTTTCTATGGCCAGTGAAGAAAAGTATGTCCATTTGTGTTTATTGAATGTTTGTGTAAAAGTGTGAAAATTAAATACACTAAGAATGTTCAAAAATTATTTCTTTAGTCGCTTACTAAATAGTATTGGATACCAAGAAGAAGAAGAAGAAGAAGAAGAAGAAGAAGAAGAAGAAGAAGAAGAAGAAGAAGAAGAAGAAGAAGAAGAAGAAGAAGAAGAAGAAGAAGGAAGAGGAGGAGGAGGAGTATCCTATCTAATAATAGACAAACAGGGTAATTGACCGTACTTTCGCTACACCTCCCATTGGCTAATCAGTGTGATATGCAAATTGATCGTACCTTTGCTATGCCTCCCATTGGCTAATCAGTGTGATATGCAAATTAACCACCAACAAAGATGGCGGTTAATCAGAGCTGAGAGGTCCCCTGCCCAGGCCTGACACCTTGGTCAGAAGCGTTAGGCCTGGGCATGGGCGGAGCTGCAATGGTGGGGAGCAGGAGTGGAGCCGGCGATCGTGGGGAGCTGGGGGTCCCCTGCCCAGGCCTAATGCCCCGGCCAGAGGCGTTAGATCTGGGCAGGGGCGGTTCCAGCAATCGGGGGTAGCAGGGGCAGAGCCCACGATGGTGGGAGCTGGGGGTCCACTGCCCAGACCTAAGGCCTTGGCCAGAGGCATTAGGCCTGTGCAGGGGCGGAGCCAGCGATTGTGGGGAGCAGGGAGGGAGCTGGTGATGGCGGGGAGCAGGGGCAGAGCCAGCGATCATGGGGAGCAGGGGCTGAGCCGACAATTGAGGGAGCTGGAGGTCCCCTGCCCAGGGCTAATGACTCGGCCAGAGGCGTTAGGCCTGGGCAGGGGCCAAACCGGCAATTGGTGTGAACAACAGAGGAAACACCTTTTCTGGCTGCTCATTGGCTTAGCTCCCTGTATGCCACTGGTAATATTCTTAGTAACTTGGGTAATAAGAATCCAAATAGGTGATCTAGGGTTTTTTACCACACTCCTGGAGAAAAAAAGGAAGGTCTGCTGCTGGAGGGTTAAGAAATGTCATATCCCGTCCTAGCTGGTTTTGCTCAGTGGATAACGCCTCGGCCTGCCCACTGCTGGGTCTGGGTTCAATTCTGACCAAGGGCATGTACCTAGGTTGCAGGCTCCTCCCTGGCCTGGGCCCAGGTCAGAGCTCAAGCAGGAGGCAACCAATCGAAGTGTCCCTCTCACTTTGATGTTTCTCTCTGTCTTTCCCTTTCTCTTCCACATTCTCTAAAAATCAATGGAAACATATCCTCAAGTGAGGATAAAAAAAAAAAAGAAAGAAAGAAATGTCATATCCTATGAAAGACACATCTTGATAATGCCTAAAGAAAGTTGTCATTTTTTCATGGTGAAGGGACTGGAGTCCGTGTTGATGAAAACACCTTGGTGGCTGCGGTGACTGGCAGTGGCTGCAGCAGCGGGGTGATGGGGCTGGTGCCTTCCCCTGATCAGTCCGGTCGCCTTCCACAAAGGGAGGCCAGACTGTGGCGTAGGCCCGCTCCCCAAGGGGAGCAGGGAGCAGGGAGTAGGACATCCCCTGAGGGCTCCCAGTATGTGATAGGGGGCAAGCTGGGCTGAGGGACCCCCTCCCATCCAGTGCACAAATTTTTGTGCACCGGGACTCTAGTTCTCTAATAATAGTATTAATCATGGTTTTATTATGATTGATTTTGGTATCATTCATGTTTTCCTACAAGCATCAGTCTGTATTTAAAATAGAATAGTTTACTATTAAATTATTCAGAACCAAATTTTTTTTTAACTTCTCTATTGTTTAACAAAAATTTTTGAAAACAAAATGTATTTTCCTGTGTGGCTTATAAAACCTACACTCACTTCCTTTGGAAAATGAATAAATAATGGCTTTTCATTGCTCAACTCACTATAATGAATAGTTTTGTTATTTCTAATACAACTTGATACAAATGACATTTTATCATTTCCTTGTACAGAGATAATGATAAATCTAATGCTATTGATTACTGTGGCATTATCATTTACTCACAGAGAGGTAATGACCTTGAAGGCAAGGCAGATATGCCAAGAGGCTCATCTTAGAGAGGAAGGGAGAGGGAGAGAGAGAGAAACATCAATGATGAGAGAGAATCATTGATGGCTGCCTCCTTCACACCCCCTACTGGGGACCGAGCCCACAACCCAGGCATGTGCCCTTGGCTGGAATCGAACCCAGGACCTTCAGTCCGCAGGCCAATGCTCTGTCCACTGAGCCACACCAGCCAGGGCAAGAGGCTGATCTTATAAAAAGTCCTTAAGAAGACTAAGGCGTCTCAGTAGAAACTTATTTCTTACAGACATTTGACTGAAAATAAAAATAAAGGCCGAGGGCTTTGTGATGCCTCTGCTACTGGCAACATCAGAAGGCAGGCGGAACCACCCCCCCCCCCCGAACCCGTCTAGCCCAGTGCCTGTGTGCAGTTCCCGAGAGCGTGGGCAGCAGTGGGGCTGAGTCAGCACCCACTGAACGAAGGGCTTCCTCGGAGAACTATGCTTGGCGCCACCAGCTAACCACCCAGCACAGGGGTTTGTTTCTCGTCGGGTCTCTTTGTTCTCTGAGCCTCCCACCTATGAGAAGAGAATGAGTCCTGAAGATTCAGGACTGTCTACTCTTTTCTTAGTGATGCCTCTGTGATCACTAATGACTTGGCCAGAGGCATTAGGCCTGGGCAAGGGCGGAGCGGGAGAATTTGAATGAGTCAGTGT